TAGCGGCGAGTGACGGGGTGATTGACGTGCGGCCAGCCTATGCTGATTACACACGGCAGCTCCAGTCGCGGATAACGGAGGTCTTCTCTAAAGCCCACCGAAATCTGCAAGCGGCAAGAGCTAGCCAGAAGGCTTAGTACGACCGCTCGCATCGAGACGTCTGCTATCAGGTGGGCGACCTCGTGCTGAGGCGCGTGCACGTGCTTAGCGATGCAAGCAAGGCCTTCTCAGCAGCGCTGGCGCCAAAATGGTCGGGCCCGTACCGAGTTAAAGAGACATGCTCCCGCCTTGTCTATAAACTAACGCACCTGCAATGCAGGGACGTTGGGGGACCGGTACATGTCTGCGACCTGAAACCCTACACCAGGAGGGAGGGGGAGCCGACCGAGGACACCTGTTCCTCGCGGCAGCAGACACGCTCGCGGCAACCGGCACGCTCGCGGCGACGCGGGGCCAGCGGCCTTTGTCCGCCTCCCCGCTATCCACTGCGAAGCCGTCGTAATTAGGGACGACGAAATGCCGGTCTCCGCGCGACCCCTGGTCGCAAGGGGAGATCGCAAAATCAGTTCCCGGCGACTTCAGTTTGTGTACGCAGGGTGCCATTTAATACTGCTAGTGGCACTGCGTGGCCTGCCTCCCGAGGACCCTTCCGCTCTGCGGTTGGGCCGGTTAATGTACGCACACTGTCTGAGGCCAGCTATTGGCACATGGGGATCCGACGCCGAACCACGTTCTCGGCAAGCGATTGCTTTTCCTTCGTTGACAGCGTTTTCGACCGAGAACAGAGGCGCCGGTCCACCCGGTTGCTCCCACAACCTTAATGCAAGTGTAGGAATGTCCTTCAAGAAGCATATCGCCACTTCTCTTAGTAGTAACTACCTCTATTTAGAAATTGATAGTGAGTTGGGAAGCAAAAGAGATCCGTCTTCTATAATCCGGGAACAACCAGCATGGTAAACCCTAAAGCTAAGCACAAAAAAAAAGAATCAGGTTCAGTGGGTTTTTTTCCTAATGTGAAATTTATGTTCTCGAAGTTTTTTTGTTAGTAAGGTGACCCAGATAAGACAACATGCAGGCTAAAGGCTGCATATTTCCTTATCTTAGAGTCATTGGGACATGCCTTTGTTCCCGTTCGTACAGTAGTCAACCTCACTGACCTTGTACGGATTTGGTTGGGTGACCACCTTTCGGAACTTTCCTAAAAAAACAAAATAGGAAAAAAAAGTTTAACGATTTTTGGGTTATTGTGTGACGAACTGCCAGTGTGACGAATTATCCTATGGCGCATGTTCCGCTGTGACGAACGGGCCTGTTACCAGTCGCTTTATGACCAATCGACATGTGACGAATGGGCCGTATCCCGGTGGTGCAGTGTAGATTCATCAACGGTCGCAACGAGTGTAAGCACCGCACATAAACATGATGACTGGGGATAACTTTCTTTTAGCGGTGAAAAAATGTCCGAAAGGCTTTGAGATCATTTGCCTCTTCTTTGACGTTTGCAGTCTTTCCCGGGTTTGGCAGGGCTAGTAAACCCAGTGAGCAGAATCTGGCGAAGTGTATTAAGTGGTATTAATAAACCACACTGTCTCTTCACACTGTGCATACTTCATATCATAGGCGTAGACTACGGGGGGGCATCGGGGACTTGTGCCCGCCCTGGTGAGATTCAAGGGGGAGGCGGGCCCCCCCCCCAGCCCGGGCCATGATCCTTACCGAGACGCTGTTTACGCGCCTTGTAACGAGCTTCTATAGTTTGTTTGATACTTGGTATGCAACGCTGCCCAAGCTACTGGCGCAAGCACATGGCTTTCTCTATGGTTTCGTTCGCGCGAGCTTGCGTGCAAATGATCAACGGGATCAAGCCTCGTGTTCACGCAAGTAGCTTTGACAGCGTTGTACGCTAAGTGTGAAACAGAGTATAGTAGTGGCATGTAAACAAGATAACACCCACGTTGCCTTTATTGACAAAATACATGGGAAATGGAATCCCAGCGTGCTTTCGTTAGCTTCAATCTCCAGCTCTGGCGAGAAGGTAATGAGGCACCAAATCCATACTTTTAATCCTGTTTTCTTTTTTTTTCTTTCTTTTTTAGAGGGAATTAAGCTAAAACTTTTTCTAATTTTAACCCAATTCTAGAAAAGACTGCTTGACTATGTCCCACCACCAAGAGATGGAACACTTGCAATTCAATAGCTCTTTTTGCCCAGTGGACACACAATGTTTTACATGCGCTTCTCAACACTGACGACATACCTCTTTTTTATTACTTCCGAATGTCGACTATCCGATCCCAACAAAGGTTCGGCTGGCTCCTTCACATATTTTCAACAAAGGCCATTCTCCGTGTACAGCATTTAATCAAAATGCTGAATTTGAACCTTAAAGGGGTGCCTCCTCTGTAAAAGACAAATTGGGACATTTTTCCCAAAACAAACTACTCAATTGCCTCAACTGAATTATTCTCAAAAGCACAAATCAAAATGATGTCAACATATTGGCGTAGAACAAAAATCGCATTCAGCGCAGAACCCACAAACATGTCAACACTCCTGTCTAACTTGTCCGAGCACATTTCCTACAAAATTGGCACAATCAAAGAGCCATTATGTACTCCCTCCTCCTGATTAAACTGAACTTCTGCATACTCTATTACACTGAACTTTAGGTAAAACTCAAAAATGCTTCAGACACTGTCTATACTAATACCAGCAGTAGATTGAAATCTTACCAAGTTTTTTACACACCAGTCTCACTCTCACTAACAATTCACCCTGTTCCATCGAATAATCTAAATCTTGGATGTTCAACATCAACATGTTACAAAGATTTCTGGTGATGTTGCTCGAATGACTCTCTTTCGCTCCAAGTTCTTTAGTGACAAAGGTCTCTCCTATGAAACATTTCTGAAAAAATGCCAAGCTCCATTTTCATTTCCACAACTTGTAAGGGAAACTCTTCCTTATGATCCTTTAACGTGAAGTTAACTCTCAACGTCACCACCATTAACTTTTCCTAACTTTCTGATATCAGGAAGTTTGCATTGCCTCAACGGTGATACAATGTTCCTCTAGGCTTTCTTTAAGTCGTCACTGAAAGGTTTAAACAACTTAGTGATTGCGTTGTCCACTTCCCCTTTGAACATCCCATCTGGTAGGATGGCAAACTTTCCCGGTCTATCGACCTGAAGAAAGCAGTGTCGACTTCTTCCATTAAAGCTTACTTTTCAAATCATTGAACTCCCTATGACTTACTTTCTCCATCCTAAGCGAAGGATCAACCAGCCTTGGCACTTTTTCCAACAAAGCATCAATAAACATTTTCCTCTTTTCTTGGTCATACATTTTTTTCGAAATCTCGAGTGTGTGTGTTTAGGCGTTGTACGTGGAAATTAGAGGGGAAAGAGAGAGCCAATCGTCTATGCGCAATGGGCACATTTGTCAAGCACATCTGACACAATGTCGACTCTAGAAGGCTTCGGATTAGCCGAGAACTTTGGACCTTTTGCCAAAAATGTCCGCACCAGCTTGCCCACATTTTGTTTTTCACTTTCATTCTTAATACGAACGAACTACCCAGCCTTCTATTTCTCAAAGTCTAGCAGGCATAATTACCTAAAAAAACAGAGTATAATGTCAAGCCTTGTTGCCCAGGGTTCCTGGGTGCTTGGATTTCTGCTCAGCATCTTTCTCGAGCACAACATGGGCACCTTGAGCTTGGCACACTGATCAGTGGCTTGGCACCTTTAGCGCTTTCGTAAAACTGTTCTTGCTGCCGTTGATGCACCAAACTAGGACCAGTGACGGAGCTAGTATTTCTAAGCACCACGCCAGCCACAATTAAAGTGCCTCAATTAAAATATCATCTTCATTCGTTGCAACTTTGCATGTGACTATTTGATCGATATGTCTATTAACCCCTTGCCTACTAATAATGTGTGTCACTTGTGCCACCCCCTACAGACCATAAAGCCCAACCACGGGTGTTGCCCGCGTTTCAGTTTCGGTGCCTGTTTAGCACGCTTTCTGGCGATGGCAAAACCAGCCCTGTTGCTCTATTTGCCTTTGCGTAGTTTGCTATTTTGTTTCTTTGTTTGACAGAGAGAGAAGGCTCCATTTAGCCAAGGAAAAGAAGTAGTTCTTGTAAGTGCTCGCGCTAAAGTGACATGGCTTTGGCGGGGAGGTCCACTTTAGCTAACAAAGAGATACAAAACTTTCTTTTTGAAAGGGATTATTGCTCAGGCATATGTGAATATGAATCCTTCAGCCCTTTCTGATTTTTAGGAATCAGACGATAGTTTGAAGGACAGTGACAGGAGAGATGCAAACAATCAGAATCCCGCAAGCCTTCCATCAACCTCGGCGTATGCACGTCAGCGGGACTCTGACCAGAAGTCCCGATTTAGAGCAGGATACGACGCCTGGAAGTCGAGAAAATGTTTTTGTCTTATTTTATTGCAAATTGCAAGTTCAAAATAATATCTTGCTGCACGTTCCTCGAAGAAAAAAAATTAGTAGGCAAGGGTTTAATGAATCAATCATTTATTTTTTTCCAATGTGAGAGGGAGCTCTTGGAAAGTCTAAACTTCTAAAGGAACAAAAGGTGAAACAAAGTTGACTGACGGGTATCAACGCCCTGCATCAGGGGCAAGGCACATCAGCACACTATGCAATGCGAGACAAACGAAAATAATAAAAAAATGCATGCATACATTAACAACAGCAATGCATCATTACTGCAGCTACAATATAAAAACAAAAAAAAAAGTTTATAACACTAGTACACTATTGGGAGAAAATATGCAAAAAGCAACACCATCCGCCTAAAACATTGCAAAAGTATTTGTAAAAAAAAAAACTGTTTCAGATAAATAAAAAACACAAATCAAAATGCAGCTGCCAGTTGTTTTTTTTTCGTGTATTTCAAAAGTAGCGAGTGGACGCTCATTGTGACAGAGGCGCAAGCCCAGCATCTTACGATGCTTCGCCGCCTTTCCCAGGACGTACAGGATTGGCTGCACTGCCATGATCCGGGCAGTTGCCTCGAAAGACGGAAAGCACCTCGTGATCACGGTCATGGACAATGAACATCAGCATCCAGTGAGCGAGGCAAGTACCGGCCAACACGTGTCAGCCACTACTACTTGCGTGAATATATGTGTGCTGGCACCACACGTGTTGTCAGTTCGTGCGAAGGCAGTAGGAAAAGGCAGATACTGTATACTACTTCACTCAGTGTTGGAAAGTACCTAAAGTACATTGTATTTTGTGGAGGTCTCAAAGGGGTGACGCCGTCCGGCAAGGGGGCCTACCGCTCAACCTACCACTCCGCAGCGTATCATGCTAAGCGCTGCGGCGGGTTCGACTGTCGGCTGCAACCCTTAGCCGGGACTCTCAAAAGGGAGCACACGGACACGCCGAAGGCAAGGGATGATCGAGTGTTTATTTTACGTGTTAATCATATACAGATAAGAAACACGCTAAGGGCGACAAGGAAGGAACAGGCATTACCTTGTCGTGCCTTCCCGCGAGCGGGCTCGGAGGTAGGCCGTCAGGGAGGGCCGGGCCACACGTCCGAACAGTTGGATGTCCCCGCGAGCAGTCCCCTCGAGCGGGGTGCAAGGCCCCCCTCTCTCTTCCTCTCTCTCTCCTGGCGGCCTCAGCCTCGGACCCAAAAAGGTCAAACCGCCAGGGGGACGTTTTGCGTGTCCCCGCAAGGTGGGGGGGCAAGCGGGGGAGGCATGCCACGTGAGGGTAAGCAGGCAAGATGGCTGCCCCTCCGAGGCACGAAACGGAGCACTCCGGCTGACAGTTGGACAGCTCGGAGTGCTTTTCCCGCGGCCATAGGGCCTAATCAGGGAAGTGGAGCGGGCGGCTCCCACAATTCTCCCCTCCTCAAGATCTTGAGCACCTCTTTAGAACAAGAGATGCCGGCTGTCGTCCCCCCCCCCCCCAAAAATGACACACGGCCAGCCTATGCTGTCTACGCCCGGCAGCTACAGTTTCGGTTAACGGATATCTTTTCCGAAGCCCGCCGAAATCCGGAAGCGGCGCAGGCCAGCCAAAAGGCCCAGTATGACCGCACGCGTAGAGATGTCCGCAATCAGGTGGGCAACCTCGTGCTTAGGTTTCCCACCTGATTGCGGACATGACCGTGTCTATGCCCCGCCTTTCCAAACCGGCCCGAATGCATGGGACCTTTCCCTCTAGATAAAAAGTCTCAAGCACGCAGCCCGCAGGCAACCGGCTTTTCCGGTGTGGGACATACCGGGGTGCGGGGCATACCGCACTCAAATAAGTTTGAGACCACTGCTCTAGATTATTATGTTAACTCTGTGGTCTAAAAGGAGATGCTGGACTCATCTTATGCATCAAAAAGACTACTAATGTGGACTGGATCATTTTGATGTTGCCAGTTCCACTGGATCCACCAAGTATGAGCTATCTGGTTTAGTGATGGATGAAGAAAGAATAAACAATTAAAACAGGGACAACACAACCACATCTTTCAACTAGCAACAGACGAGTAAACTTTCAACAGCGAGCAGCTGACTATACCCAGTAGGAGTAGGGGAGAGAAGGGGAGAGAAGGAAAGATAAAACACGCGAAGTGCAAGTCAGGGTAATAGGGTTATCTCGGATTTTAAAAATTCAACCTCAGTTGTTTAGTGAGTAACGGCCCGTTCACACTCTTGCTACGTCTTAAAACTGGGTTACTTAAAACCTCTTACAACGAGAGGACACACTGGCGCCATCTATTGGGTAGCAGTGTGAACTTGGCGGTCCGGCATATTTACTATTTGGCCGCAGTTCCTCCGACGCCCGTCGAAGGAGTGACATCTGTGTGCAAATCACTCCTCCGACGCCGGAAGTGACGTAACGGAAGTGACGTCACCTTGTTAATTATTAATAACTAATATAAATCATTACTACATACAGAATATAATTTGCCTTTGAAAATAAGTACAAATAAAAATAAACCCGTTCGATTTTAATGTAGCTTTACAGTAAAAGGTCACGTGACTAAACATTTTTGTCACAACATTTGTTTATTTACAACTTTTTAAACGCAGCCTGACAAAAGTTGTGAGTTATAAAAATAGTATTAATGCATATAAATACATTTTTATTGTCTTTGTGTCACGTGACGTTATTATCGTGGGTGTGGCTGCCGTGGCCCTAGCGCGTGCGTCGCGTGCGGTAGTGTGCTCCGAATCGGCTGTCCCTTGCATTGTACATTGCACGCTCCTCCAGCCCGGGCGCTCGTCCTGTGAAAAAAACGTCTCGCAGCTGATCTCGTGCCCGTAGCCTTCGTTAAGGGCCACCCACACTAGCGAGAAAACGCGCCCGGCGCGCCGATAAATCGGTTAAGCGGGAAGATAAAGGGCGTGTCTCTGCACGCGCTCGTGGCGCTGACTGTGCTTCGGCGACATTTTGTTACTTGCCGCGATCGGCGTGCCAAGCGCGTTTTCTCGCTAGTGTGGGCGGCCCTTTACACTGCCAGCGAGCGGAACATAGCACGACGCTCAATGCTTTCTTGTACCAGCGTGACCGGCGGTAGTGACGGCCGGCCGAGTGCGCCCGCGCGCTTAGGTGGGTGTTCGCTGTTGCAAAGACCTTATCATTGATTATCGCACCTAATGAGTAGTTTTCAACGAGCCAACAGCTGAGTTACGTTAAGGTTCTCAGTTACAGGTGGTAAGTGTGCGTAACCCAGCTGCAAAAAGGTTGAACGGATAGGAGCGACCCCCGGGACCTCCCGCGGAACCCCGGGAGGGAACGGGGGTGGGAGGGGGGAGGGGGGTCGTTGCGGGTACGCCAGTTAGATTTAAAACTGGGTCCACTTGGATTCACTACTACTGAGATATGCCGGTTCCAGTTGGGAACCAATGGAGACCTAACTGGGAATCAACTTGAAGCAAAGAATTGTAACTGCAGATTTAACTCAATTTGTAATCATGCATATTAATTTTACATATTATGCATTTGTTCTTTGTGTTTGTTTTTATATAGTACCAGATTTAGTTTTTTCTTCTGAGGCTGATTTTTGTGTAGGTGTTGACACTTGCGCCTTCGATCAAACCGAGCAGTACTGAAAAGGTGTGCCCACCATATGACACACTCACGGTTAAAGCTGACCAGACCACTCGGTCACATATGTTGCCTGGCCCTGTCACTGCAGTAGAATGCGTAGAGTGTTATCAGAGTAGAATGTGATACATGGTAATGAAACCCGAGACCCAGGAACACAGAAGGGGACGAATGTACGAATGTGATACTCGACTCATTCAGTGAGCGCGTCGCCCTCACCGTCCTGCAAATCTATCAAATAGCAGCGTATACTCTCTGTTGTGTCTACAAGCTGATCCTGGCTGCTGGTAGACGAGGACGAAGAGGAAGGGGGATACGAACGGAGCACGAGATGGAGCAGCTGGTTTTTCTGTACTGTCTGACATAGGCGTTCGTATTAAAAACACAATTGGTGCAGTCGACAGGACTCTAGGACTCCTCCTAGAGTCTGAACTTTCCCTAAAATCTGCTCTTGCCATCGCCTCTCCAGTTGAGCAAGCGATGAAGGAGGCCAAGCTCTTGACGGAAGAGGGATCCAGTTCACAAGTGGCAAAAATAAAAGCCAAAAATTCGAGGGCAAGTCCCAGCAAGTCGTCCGGCACTTGTTACAGATGTGGATCACCGCACCACATGGCGGACCATCCTAAGTGCTGGCAAAGAATGAAGCTTGCAGAAAATGCAACAAGAAGGGACACTTCGCCTCCGTTTGCAAGCAGGGAGTTTCACAAGCAAAATCCCATGTACGAAGAGTGGAACAAGCGCACGACCAAGTCCAGGTGCTAACTACCAGCTTTACCAAACAATCGGTTACGTGCGAGATACATCTGGCACATGTTCCCACCAAACGTTTAGTCGACACAAGTTCATCCGTTTCAATCCTGCCAAAAGACGTCTACCGAAGACACTTCCACTCTTACAAGTTGGAATGTTTGAGTACAACACTTCTGGACTACTCCGGAAAAGACATTCCCGTTCTGGGGAAATTCGACGCACCGGTGCAGTTTGCTCAAAGACGCAGCACCTGCACATTTCACGTCGTACGAACAGGCGTGGCTGTCATGGGCCTAAACGCCTTTTGTGCATTGGACATCCAACTAAACTTTGCTCCTCCCACCGGAGGACGGGTGGCAACGGTCTCCGCGAGAAACCTTCCAGAGATCACACAAGACTTCCCCCATCTGTTCTCCGAGGGATTAGGTCATGCAAAAGGATTTGTACATAAGGTAAAGACAAAAGATTCCGTCGCTCCTTTCCAACAAAAGCTACCAAGACTAACTTTCGCAGTGCGGGAGAAAGTTTCTGAGGAACTGGTGAAGCTGGAACACTCCGGGGTTATCGAGCGCATCGATGCTTCGGAGTGGGTGTCTCCCATCGTAGTGGCCCGCAAAAAGAATGGGCAGATCCGGCTTTGTGTAGGCCTATGCAAGCCGAACACTGCAATAGTTTTGGATTCCCGCCCTCTACCGTGCCCCGACAAACTTTTTCATCAGCTTTCCGGTGCCCACATCTTCAGCAAGCTAGACCTCTCATTGGCATATCACCAGTTGGACCTGGCAGAGGAAAGCAGAGACCTAACGGCATTTGTGGCACATGATTGTCTCTTCAGGTTCACCAGAGTATGTTTCGGGCTGGCATCCGCCGCCCCTGCCTTTCAAAAATGATGGACTACATACTCTGAGGTACTCCAGGTACCATCGTCTACCTGGATGATGTACTTATTTTCGGGCGCACAAGAGAAGAGCATGATGCCCGCCTGAGGCAAGTTCTTTCACGCCTTCAAGATGCAGGCTTGAAACTAAACTAGCACAAATGTTTTTCTTTGCAGTCCAGCAGCTTCAATTCCTAGGACACGAGCTGACACCGCAGGGAATCAAGCAATGCGAAGATAATATTGAGGCTATCATGCAGGCTTCACCCCCCACAAACATAACATCACTACGATCATTACCCGGCCTGCTCGCATATTACATCAAGTTTGTACCAAACTTTGCGACCATCGTGGAGCCTCTGCACGTGCTCCTGCGGAAGGATGTTCCCTT